ATCAACTAGTAATATAAACAACAAGGCAGCAAGACACCATAAATATTGCTCAAACGAATAATAAACACAAGCACAACCAATTAATCAAGTCCTTCAAAATATACATCCTTTATCCATAAGTTTTTCAAATAAAACTCATTAGAATATAATCAATTAAATATAACTTGAATATACTTCCTTCAAATAAATATCTTACGAATTTATAAAATCTTTCGAATATAATTCCTTTCAAGTAAAATCTTTCGAATATAATTCCTTTCAAGTAAAATCTTTCGAATATAATTCCTTTCAAGCAAAAGTCACCATGTGACATCTCATTTCATAATTATAAAAATTACGGGTCTCAGTCCACTTTCATAATTTCACGGCACCCCGTGCCCATATTTCTGTCACAACTGCACGGACAACTCACGTGCCAATAATAAAATCATCATACTTTCCCCGGCACATCGTGCCCATATTTCTTTCATAACCGCATGGACAACTCACATGCCAATAATAAAATCATCATATTATTTCCGGCACCTCGTGCCCACATTTTCTTCATAACCGCACGGACAACTCACGTGCCAATAATATAAACCGCCCGGCAATAGCCACAGGCTCACAATTTCAACATGAATCATACTGTTATCAAGTTTACCGAAACAACAAGACAAATTGCACAAGAGATAAAAATAAACACCAGGAATATCACAACATCATATAAAAATCACCAACACAATAATCCTACATCTTCACGTATCATCCCTGACAATAGCTACCCTTATCTCTCCTATAGCCACCCATATCACTCCATAATAATAGCCACCCTTATCCCTCCGCCCAGACAATATCAATAGCCACCCTTATCGCTCCTATAGCCACTCCTATCGCTCCTATAATAGCCTCCCTTATCGCTCAGTTTAATAGCCTTCCTTATCACTCCGCCCAGACAATATCCCAACACACATAACAACAATGAAATGCCACTCTTATACCTGCATAATATTAACAATGAAATGCCACCCTTATATGTTGTATAATAGTAACCCAAATCACACAACAATTTACACAAAAGATTATCACAACACCACTACATAATCAACTCGTAATTACAAATTGCCCGTAGGCCACAACCTTTCCAAGAGTACAATGTAATCAATTAAATTTCATAACAGATAGCCCCAAGGCTCACACAACTTATATAAAACCGCATAAACAATAACCAAGATGGAAAAATAGCTCAGCACAGGACAACACCTTCTTAAATCTAAATTTCAGATAAATATACAAATGCCTCTTTTTAAACTTATATAATTAATTATTTGCAGATGGAAAATCTATAATGTAATTAATTCCAAGAAATATCAAATCAACAAACCCACCGAATTCACATAAAAATCTAAGTGGAAATCACCCCAAATTATCATATAAAATACAAACTCGACAAAAAAGGAATGAGGCATGACAAATCAAGGATTTACTAAGTTCCAACAATTTTCCAATTTAATACATAAGGGTGTCTACAAATTATAACCGGTATAAATTGCACATATAAAACAAGTACATACTCGTCACCTCGCGTACATGGTTTTCAATCACACAATTTCCACATAAGACTCAATGCCTAAGGGAAAATTCCCTCACACAAGGTTAGGCAAGATACTTACCTTTTTGAAGTTAGGCCGATATTCCAAAAAAGCCTTCTTGCTTGAATTGACCTCCGGATAGCTCAAATCTATATAAATTAATTGTATAACTTCATTAAAATTCATCGGAAACAGTTTCGGATAATAAAACGTCGACTTAAAAATTCACATTAAAAGTCAACCAAAAGTCAAAAGCGGGGCCTGCCTCTCAGAATCGGACAAAATTTTTACGAAATCCAAACACCCATTCCGATACGAGTTCAACCATACCAATTTTATCAAATTCCGATAACAACTCGACCTCCAAATCTTAAATTTTCGTTCTTGAAGAGTTTTACAAATTTCTCCAATTTCTTCCATTTGATTCACTAATAATTGATGAAAATAACCATGAAATCATGAAGTATAATCACTTTTGGATATAGAACACTTACCCCAATCCATATGGTGAAAATCGCCTCAAACATCGCTTCAATCCGGCCTCCAAAGCTCCAAATATGTTAAAATGGGCGAAACCCCCATTTTAAGAATCTGTCCAGGCAAGTCTCATTTGACATTTGAGACTTATAAATGGCATTTGACACCTGCGATTTGCCTTAGTCCAAGAAAAATAGCAGTCTTTCCAGATACGGAAATGAGCATAACTCTCTCATATATGTCCGAATGATGAATGGTTTAACTTTCTGGAAACTAGACACCAAGGGATACAACTTTCATGTTTTGCTCATCTTCCAATTCCTTATAGATGTCGAGATATAAGCTCTCAAAGTCAGCCATATACATCAGAAATTTCTACAATGGACACTGCCAGGCAAAACAACTGCAGTACCAGGCTTCAATTAATCGATCATAACTTTATGTACAAATGTCCAAATAATGAATGGTTTACATTTCTGAAAACTAGACTCAAAGGGATACGACTTTCAGTTTTGGATCATCTCTAAATTTCTTACAGATTACGAGATATAAGCTTTCAAAGCCAGCCCTGTACAACAAAAATATTTGCGATGCACACTGCTGTAGCCAAAAACCAGCAGTTTAAAATGGCCTAGAAATGGTCTGAAACCACTCCGAAACTCACCCGAGCCACTCGAGACCATGTCCGAATATACCAACAAGTCCCATAACATAATACGAACTTAGTTGAGGCCTCAAATCACATCAAACAACACCGAAATAACGAATCGCACCTCGAATCAAACTTATGAGTTTATGAAATTTTCCAAATTCTATATCTTGTGCCGAAATGTATCAAATCAATCCGGAATGACTTCAAATTTTGCATGCAAGTCATAAATGACATAATAGAGTTGTTCCAATTTCCAGAATTGAATTTCGACCCCGATATGAATAAAGTCAACTCCCGATCAAATTTTCTAAAAATCTTCCATTTTCCAACTTTCGCCAAAATGCGTCGAATTGTCCTACGGACTTCCAAACCCAAATCCGGACATACGCCTAAGTCCGAAATCACCATACGAAGCTATTGACGTCATCAAATTTCTATTCCATAGTCGTTTGCTTAAAAGTCAAGCTCCGATCAACTCTTTTCATTTAAGCTTTAAAATAAGAATTGTTCTTTCAATTTAATTCTGAATCTTTCGAAAACCAAACTTGACCACACACGCGGGTCATAATACATTTTACGAAGTTGCTCGGGACCTTAAGTCACTGAACAAAATGTTAATTCTCAAAATGATAAGTCGTGTCGTTACACCTCTAAATCCAAATCCACTAATACGCCTAAGCCCAAAATTACCATATGAACCAATTGGAACCATCAAAACACTGTTATGGGGTCGTCTACACAAAAGTCAAGCTCCTGTCAACCTTCACAACTTAACCTTTCAATCCAAAACTTCTCCGAAACCAGACCACCCACCCCCACAAGTCACATAACAATAAATACACATGTATAAAGCATCAAATATGGGAAACGAGGCTAAAATACACAAAACGACCGGTGAGGTCATTATAGAGACTCCTTCACACAACACACCCACTAATTCTCCACAACATTCAAGAGAAAATTCACCAGATTGGTGAAGCTTTATGAGCTTTTGCGAGTGGATTTCCAAGTGTTGTTTAGGCTCCACCACCAGTTAATACAACTGTGAAAAATCCTCATTCAGGCCTCGAAAACTCTGGAAGTGGAGAAATTCCATATACGTCTGGAGCCGGAGGGTGAGGTATGCCAAACAATGCTAATTTACTAAATCTAGTTCTAACATTGCAGAAATAGATCAAGGAACAAAATGAGCAAATAGAACAGATACATGGAGTGCCGCAGTGATTAACGGAGTGGATATAGACAAATATTCACAACAGTCATGGAAACCAAGTGCATCACCACTACCAATACCAAAAAAGTTTAAAATGCCCGATATTCCTAAGTATGACGGGACTACTGACCCACGAGATCATGTTACTATGTTTATCACAGGGTTCAAAGGCCAAAATTTAACCAAGCAGGAAATCAAATCGGCATTGTTGAAAACATCTGGTGAAACCCTTACGAAGGGAGCACTAACATGGTATTCTCTTTTACCTGAAAATTCAATTGACTCTTTTGTTGAGCTTGCAGATTCATTTATAAAAACACATTCCGGATCAAAAAGTAGAAAAAAAAATGGAAGATATCTTCAAGGTAAAACAAGGAAGTACAGAGTTGCTGAGAGAATTTGTTAATCGCTTCTAGCGAGAAAGGATGATGTTACCTTGCGTACCTGATAATTGCGCAGCAATGACATTTACCAGCAACCTGAGTGAGAGAAGCTCAGAAGCCACGAGATGATTAAAGGAGAGTTTGTGGGAGTTTCGAGCAACTACTTGGAATGATGTTTATAAAAGGTATAGCACAAAACTTAGAATAAAGGAAAATACAGTATCCCAACCAGCGATGGAGGATAGGTTCAGGTCTAGACAGTCAGAACTAGAATGGAGGTTTAGAAAAAATAGGTACGAATCTTATATGGGACATTCAGGGCGGGATCTTAGGCCGCAACTGGAATAGGCACGGTTTGATTAGAGATCACGGTAGAAGGAAGCAAGTTCCTCTTCTCGATTTCTAAAGGAACGGGATATGAGAAGAAACAACGATCAGAATTCTCGATAATAAATAGGTGATTATAACTTCAGCATCAGTGCTTCCGAGTTAGTATCAGTGTTAAGAGGCATAAGAGATAAGGTACGATGGCCCAAAGAGATGAGATCAGATCCTAACAAAAGAAGTCAGGAATTCTGGTGTGAATTCCACAATGATCATGGTCATAGAACTGAAGATTGCAGGCTCTGCAAGCGGGGGATAATTATTTATTAAAAAAGGGCTATCTCACCGACCTATTTAGTGAGAAAGGTAAGCGGTCTTATATGAAAAATAGGGAAGAGACATCGAAGCCCCCTTTACCAAAGAGGATGGTAAATGTAATAACTAGGGGTGAGGAGGTTAATGGAGTAATATACACAGCAGCAGAAAGAACAACCAAAATCACAGTGACCCACGAGAAGTGGATTCGACAAGTCTTAGAGGGAGAGCACATAGCATTCAACCATGAGGATACCGATGGCTTGTTCATCCCTCACAATGATGCGCTGGTAATCTCTTTACTTGTTCATGATACTAATGTCAAATGGGTTTTGATTGTTCCAAGTAGCTCTATCACTTTTATAATTATAACAGTGGTCAACGAGATGCAAGCAATTGATCGAGTAATACCTAAGGCTTGGTCTTTGTCTAGGTTCGACAATTCAAGTGTCATAACAAAGAGAGAAATTACGTTATGCACTTTTGCCGAGGGTGTAGTGAAAGATACCAAATTTCAAGTGGTGGATGCAAACATGAATTACAACATGATTTTAGGGAGGCCATGGATTCATGATATGGATGCAATACCATCAACTTTACATCAGGTTATCAAATTCCCATCACAATGGGGAATTTATCAGATCAGGTCAGACCAACGAGAAACACGAGAAACTAATACGGTTGTTGTGGCAAGTGGAACGACCAAAGACGGGGATAAAAAATAGCAATTACTATATCCAACTCAGGAGAACATGCTTTCTACCTCAAGTGGAGGTGCGAGGAATGAGGTAGAAATGGATTCAAGACCTGATGTGATTCAGGATTCAGAAGAGAATGAAACAATTAAATCAACTATGGAAGAGCTCGAAGCTGTTATATTATTCATCCACTGGCCCGATAGAAAAGTTTATATCGGGACAAACTTAATCTTGAAGTTGAAAAGTAAGTTAATTGAATTTTTATGCACTAATGCTGATTGTTTTGCCTGGTCGCACTCAAACATGATAGGTATCCCACCAGAGGTAATGACTACATCCACCGATGAAACAAAAGAAGAGAAAGCATGGAGCATTCAAAAATCAGGTAATTCAAGAGGAGGTAAGTAAACTCTTGGCAATTGGTTCAATTCGTGAGGTAAAATACCCTAACTAGTTAGCCAACACAATTGTAGTATCTAAGAAAAATAGAAAATGGCGAGTATATGTAGATTATACTGATTTAAATAAGGTATATCTCAAAGATTCATTTCCTTTACCACATATAAATCAATTAATCGATTCTACTGCTAGTCATGAACTTTTACGCTTTTTAGATGCTTATTATGGATGTAATAAGATAAAAATGGATCCCCAGGACAAGACAAAAAATTTCTTTTATTACATACAGGGGGACTTATTGTTATAAAGGCATGCCTTTTGGATTAAAGAATGCAGGAGCTACGTGCAAGAGTTGGTGACTAAAATATTTCAAGAATATTTGGGAAAAACCATTGAGGTCTATATTGATGACATGCTAGTTAAATTAGCAGAAGCATAAGATCATCTCAGGCATTTAAATGAAACCTTTGCCATACTTCGCAAATATAACATGAAGATGAACCTTGAGAAATGCACCTTTGGTGTGCGGGTAAGTTTTTGGGTTATCTTGTTTCTAACATGGGGATTGAAGTAAATCCGGCTCAGATTAAGTCAATCGAAGAAATACTGGATGAACTTAGAAGTAAAAAGGAAGTACAAAGGCCAGCTTGGAGAGTAGTAGCTATTGGGAGATTCATATCTAGATCCTCCAAGAAGTGTTTCATATTTTTCTCGTTATTGAAAAAGCAAAATTAGTTTGAACAGACAGATGACTGCCAACAAGCTCTAAAATATTTGAAAGCATACCAGTCAAAACCACTTTTGCTATCAAAGTCTAGCGATGGAGAGAGATTACTCGTTTACTTAGTCGTATCCTAAGTGGCCGTAAGCACGGTATTGGTACGAGAAGAAAAAGGTACGTAGTCTCCTATCTATTATGTTAGTAAATCATTATTTGAAGCTGAGACACTATACCCTCATCTAGAAAAACTGGCGCTAGAATTAATAATGACATAAAAAAGGTTACGATGTTATTTTCAATATCATCCAATTTCTGTCGTATGAAATATTTTGCATAAACATGAATTATAAGGAAAATTAGACAAATGGACAATAGAACTTTGTGAATATGATATTGTTTATCAGCCACGGGCTGCCATAAAGTCACAAGTACATGCAGATTTTGTAGTAGATTAGTTCGAGTTGACTTCCTAAATCTTAAAATGAGGTATAAGCGTCTACCGAATCTAATATGAGGACTTGGACTCTATACACTGATGGATCTACAAATGTAAAGGGAGGAGGTTTGGGTATTTGCTTGATTTCACCTTCAGGGGAAATTGTTAAGCAAGCAATAAAATATGACCCTATTACTAATAATGAAGTCGAGTATGAGGCAGTAATTGCAGGTTTGGAGCTTACAAAAGGGATGGGAATTGATCAGATTGAAATCAAGAGTGATTCTCAGCTTGTGATAAATCAAATACAAGGGAATTACGTGGCTAGAGAAATACTGCAGCAATACTTAGAAAAGGTTCAAAACTTGTTGCATCAATTCCGAGTGTGGAAAGCCATTCATATTACAAGAGAGGAGAATGCAGAGATTGATGCATTGGCAAATCTGGGATCACTAGCCCACGGGTCAAAATACAGAAAATGCAATCATGGTGAATTTATTCCACTCACCAGTCGATCAAACTAAGAACGAGGTAAATTTTAATAATTTTATGCGGGATTGGAGAAATGAATTCATGAGATATTTGCAGTACGAAATGTTACCTGAGGACAAAAAGTAATCCCAATAGTTGTGAATGCAAGCAGCTCAATACTATTTAATAGAAAGTAATTTGTATCAAAAAAATATTTGGTGAACTACTAGCTCGATGCTTTCAGCCCTCGCAAACTAAATAAGTTGTGGGAATCATGCTGGTGGAAGATCATTAGTTAGAACACAGATAAGATCAGGGTATTACTTACCAAAAATGAAAGATGAGGCAGAAAACTTCGTAAGAAGGTGCGATAAATGTCAACAATATGCAAATAATATGCATCAACCAGCGGAATTGCTCAATTCAGTTATCGTGCCATGGCCATTTATGATGTGGAGAATACATATCATAGGTCCTTTGCCGCAAGAACTGGGAAAGGTATGGTTTTATTAATTTAAATTGATTACTTTTCTAAGTGGGTAGAAGTATGTGTCTTTAAACATGTACGAGAAAAAGAAGTTATAGACTTCATTTGAAGGAATATAATATGTAGATTTGGGGTTCCAAAGGAGATTGTATGCGATAATGGACCGCAATTCGTAGGAACGAAGGACACCAAATTTCTCAAAGGTTGAAAAAGCAAAAGCATCAACGCCATATCATCCCATAGCTAATAGACAAGCTTAGTCAACAAATACAATAATCGTCAATAGTATGAAGAAATATTTTGAAGCAGCAAAAGGCGGGTGGCCTGAGGTGCTACTGGGGTATTATGGGCCTACAGAACAACATCTAAAATAAGTATGACAGAAATACCATTTCACTTGTTTATAGCACTGAAGCCCTAATTTGAGTGGAGAAGGAGACTTGAGGAGGAACTTCGTACAAATTTGAATTTGGAAGAAGAACGAAGGGAGACAGCTTCGATACGGATGGCAATAGAAAATCAAAGGATAGAACAATACTATAACAGAAAAGCAAATGTTCGATTTTAAGATTGGGGACTTCGTCCTTAGGAAGATGTTTCAGTCAACACAGGCGGTAAATGCAGGGAAATTAGGTCCGAGTTAGGATGGACCATATTGAGTTCGAGGCATTGCTGGGAAAGGAGCATACAAGTTGGAGACCATAGATGGGAAAGTATTACCTTCTAATTGGAATGCAATACACTTGAAGAAGTATTACTTTGAGCAAGTACCCACGATCAGGTATCTCAAAATTCATTATTTATTTGTTCATTTAAATTTTACTAACCTTTTTAGATGATAGACACAAAGCTAACCCAAATCAGATGATGACATTAGACCCAAAAAGATACGCAGAATACTTAATTATTTTCGGTCAAGATTACAATAATTCTGACGGGAAAGGTTAAGCAGTCTTTATCTAAAAAGTCACCCCGACTCTCATATGTAATTCATTTTTCATGGAAAGGACCAAGGAGGGAAGTTGATCCAGTGTTCATATTTTTATACTTCAAAGCTCAAACACTGGGGGACTATACTTATTAAAGAAGCATATGAAAAAACGTGTCCCAGAGAAGAAAAATTCAAAAGTTTGGAGGAAAGTTTTTGAAGAAACTTTGAAGAAGAAAACTTTGAAGCTCAAAGATTGAATGGGAAGTGAAGAATTGAAAGTTCAAATAAAAACTTCTCAAATTACTTCATACGTCATATTATTATACCAATATAAGGATGAGACGTCATCTTCATTAGTTTCGATTACATAAAAGGACCCTCTTTTATAATTAAGACCGTGTGAATTTAATCACGACATATTGAATCATTCATTCTACTAAGATAATGCGAAAAACATCTCGAAAAATTAAAGTACAAAAACAAAGAATATAAAAACATGCTAAAGAGTTGATATTGATATTGTTTAATGTCTCCAAAAGACAAACAAAAACATCAAAAACATCTATTAAAAAAATAAGGAGCATCTTGGGAAGGAGCAAAAGAAGGATCAGCTAGGGGACTTGAAGATGAAGACTGAGGATCTGCCTACTAATCGTCTTTGCCTAAATCACCCTTGGAGCTTTCATTCTCTGGTGTGGAGAAACTATGGCGTTGCTGAGTAGTTTCAATAGCCTCTTTAGTTATGGAAAGGTCAGCTTTGAGAACAAATCCCTCTTGGCTAGCCTTAGTAAAAGTTTCAGGACGAGTGTTAAGGAAGGTCCAACTCACATCTAGATTAAGTTTATCCTAGAGAGCCTCGTAGTCTTTTTCTAGTTATTGAATTTCAACCCTTAGCTCCTCTTTCTCAACATCAACGACATCATAAGAAACCTTCAAAGGTTCCAATGCAGAATCAAGGAGCTTAATCTTGCTGGAGGAGGCACGAAGGTCTTCTCGAACTTGTGTCAATCTTGAACTAATTCACCCGCATACACTTCTTTTTGATTCAAAAGTTCGTTCAAACTTCGAATCTCTTCAGTTTCCCTTGAATGTTGCTCAGCAAAAGAAGCCTCCATTCTTGCTTTCTCCTTTTCTGCCTGGTTAGCCAATGCTTTCACCACCGCTAAATGTTATGCTGATCTACAAAAAAATAGAGAAGAAAGATACTATAACCTAGAGAAGGAATAAATGAAATGATTAAGGGTAGAGAGATATACCTTGAGAGAAGAATGGATTATATCGCTTATCAGAGTGACCAAGGAATGAGAATCAAGTTTTTTCCTCTCAAGGGGGCCAGTCAGAGGGTTCAACCAAACCACAACCCAGTTAGTTTTCTTTTGCAGACTGACACCCTCGGGGACATTGATTGTAACTTGTTTCATTCCGCTCTTGGTAGAAGGTCCAAATTCATCTCGAGGTGCAGCAGCAGGTGCAAGGGGGCTCATGGAAAGAGTGGCGAGAGATGGCTCTTCAGAAACGAAGCCAAATGCCTCATCACCCTCAAATCCTTGAGTGAAGAGCTTCTCAATAGGGATTGGAGGAG